GCATGAACTTTCTATTCATTAGAAATTCACAATCGATTAGTTGCAATATTTCGCAACTTATGTACATTTAAAATCAGAAAATCGATATTTCGTATTAAATAAAAAAAAATGAATATCAAGGAAGGAGATGGTCCGAGATGGCGGTCATAAATAGACTGGATAATGGCAAAACTATTTTATTAAAAGCCAACGTTTCGACCCGACTTTGCAGGTCTTCTTCAAGGCTAGAACGGACAAGATACAAAAAGATATAGAGAATTGTGGAGGTCACATAATATTTGGACGAAAAATTATAAACAATGTGAATAAACGTATTAAAATTATAAACAGTAAGTACATTAAAATATAAGCAAAGTAAGTAAACAAGATCCTAAACTGAAGTAAATAGATGGTAACAATTGTTGTAGTATAGTATATATAATAATACATGCAATCGTGATTATACTCCAACAGATCTACAGGAGAGATTGGAAGGAAAGGAAAAAGGATATAATATGAAATAATGGACATGAAGGGATGTGGAGAAAGAAAACAAAATATTAAATAAATAAGTAAATAAAATTAGAAGAATAAAAATAGAGACTTACTGGTGTGTTCAGCAAGGAGTAATAAGTTTATTCACATTGTTTATAATTTTTTGTCTAAATATTATGTAAGTTCCACAATTCTCTATATCTTATTGTATCTTGTCCGTTTCCTTTTAATAAATTAGTTTTGCCACTATCTAGTCTATTTATGACCGCCACCCAGAACCATCTCCTTCCTTAATAATACAACGGTCAACTATTAAGTATTCAATAAAATTTATAGTTAAATATGTCCCCCACAAAATTAAACTATCCATTGTTTAGAATATCTTTATTAGAGAAAACTTGATATATAGTTAGTCAATTTTTAATCCAATTGTTTATTTTAAGATCATTATATGCACAACTTTTCAATACATAAGCATCAAAAAAGCCTCAAAAACACAATGAAACATTTTCTACAAAAAAATAAATAAATATAGTATTGAATTTAACATTTTTCCTGAATGTGTTTCTTTATTATACTTCGATAATTATTGTTAAAATAATGTAAAAAATAAATTTGCGACAAAATAAATTTGAGTATAGTTTTTATCCATAATTCTACATACACATATTAGAAATATAAAACGTTTTATAAATAAAAAGGATATAAAAAGGATAAATAAAAAGCGTCTAGCAAAAAACAGGCACTGAAACTACAGATCAACATTTTCGAAGTTAAGATACTACACTTACTATATCCTATCACTCTCCCAGTTTTTTTTTTTTTTAATCTTAAAGTATACAACGGTATTAGCCAACTCTTCTGACCTTCTGAACATCCTGAAACATGAAACCACTAAAATGCTGAAGATGATTTGAACACGATTCGCCTCCTGTGAGGTCCCATAGTTGTTGCTTGTATTCCATGAATCTGAATACCTTCATTACCGGAGCTTAACACAGCCAACATGAGGCGGTCAGTATTATCAGTGTCAAATAAACATGTTCGACTTGGAAGGAAACCGCCCAGTCAATTTTCAGGCTCTCGATTAACTACAGCTAGGAAATTTTCTCCGGGCCCGCTCTTTAAATGCCGAGCTTAAAGCATAAATTTCATTAATTTCACATGTCCTGTAAAGCCAAGAAGATGGCTTAAAGTTAAAAATTATGTCTGCTCAATAATTTAGAATATAGAGATTTGAAGAATATTAACGGGCTATGAAGTTAAAAAATACTGAAACGAGGTTGGATCCTAAACCCAGCGCCGAGCTCATCTTGGCATCGTTTTACCCAGTTTAGATATGGATTCGGAGTCATCGATGAGCTCGTCGCTGAGTTTTAAAAGTTATCCATTACTTTTTTTTTTTAATTGTTTTATTGAGTATTAATACAGTCTGCCACAATGAAGGGCATTGGTACTAGGGCTATAGTATTCATTCACACAATATGTACATAAGATATAAAATAAATAAAAATAACCAAGTAAGAAGAGAAAGAAAAGAAAAAACAATTATATATATATATAAAGATAAAATAATAAACAAGATAAGTAAAATAACAGATTAAATCCGAATGACAATAAAACACATTCACACCTATCCATTACTATTGCAAAAATTCTTAGTGAGTTTAAGCACATCAAATTCTAGAAATAGTTCTTACTTCCATCTAGAGATTTCCTATCGAAGCTGCTAGTATCGATTAGAGAGTACGAAACTATCAATAAACAAATATATTGTTGGTTTATTGCAAACAAATCTCTAAGTATATTTTTACTTTTAAAAACATTTTTGCGAATTTCGACCACATTAAGCGATAATAAGTCCACCAAAATTATCCAAACCCATTTATATATCAAATTTAGTTACAAAAATTGCACAAAATTCTTAGTGTAATTTAAGGTTATAAAATATCACTTGATGATTTATTGTAATAAACCGACGATATATTGGATATGGTAGGACTTTGTTTGCTTATAATACAGTTATAAGAGTTAATTAATGCATTACTTAAAAAACAAAAATTATTGTCGAATATTAATGGTTTGGAGAGGAGCTGTTACAGAATATTCCGATTGAAAAAAAAAAAAAAAAATCGATGCGTCTTATTTGGAAAGTAGGAATGGTATAAATATTTTTCTTCCCCTTTATATCAGGGTATCTTAAACGTTGGTCATTAATTTATAATACGTAAAATAAAAAATATTGCAGAGATAAACAACGGAATAGATTTTAAACGGCAAACCTAATTGGATTTTAATCCAGGATTTTTATTGCGTCGTTAAAAACTTTAAATTAGTAAAATCTGTTAAGCTCGCGGCTTCGAAACCCGTTGAAAGCTTTAAGTCACAAGAGAAGCCGTACCTGAAAGAAATAAACCATGTTAGCTTAGATTTTTTTATGATATTTTTTTTTTGCTGTAATCTTCTGTCCACAGACAAGGTCCATAGTTTCAGATTAACCTACTTACTTGGGTTGTGCTAAGATATCCCTAACTCATTACATGGCTGATTCCTGCTTGATTTATGATCATACTATTTAGCAAAGTTAAAAAATATTTTATACTAAGTAGTATATATAGTCACTGAACTTTAATAATAATTAATTCAAATTGTTAGTTACAGCAATGGTGAGAAAAACAGTTAATTTAAATTTATATTTATATTTATTTTTATTATTTTATAATAAAAAGTTACTTTTACTTTATAAGTATTATCATTAATATAAATATAATTAAATGTTAGATAAAGAATATATTGCTTAATGAAACATTTCTTTTGATTTTTATTGGATAAGTTAAGTTTTTTATAGATACTAAAAATGATGGATCTCTATTGCCATTTTATTAACCATTTGAAGTTTCTCATTTGAAGTTCTACATGTATTTTTATTATAGAGTTATTATTTTTAAGGGTTATAATTATTTGTAATTCTAGGGCAGTGCTTTGTAACATGATTTCAAGCTAGTTTTGGAATTCGCTTTACACACGATAGTATGTCTAGATGACAGTTTAATAAATATATAGAACCCATATATAGAATTTATACAGACAATGATAAACAGTAAACATTTATTTTATGATATAGATATATACTTATACTTGACAACTTGGTTGTCAAATACTAAAACTAATTCCCACTTCCTCCCAATAAAGCCAGTTTATATCACTATTTGAGGTAAAAATAAATCATCAGATAATAACTGAGGACATTAACTAAATTAAGTTCAAAACAACCGAGAAGTAGGAAAAAAATGTTTAAAATAAAAAAAAGCTAATACAAATTATGCTTAAAAAATGTTTTAAAAAAATTTCGAAATTTGTCGATCACAACAAAATTCCCCTTTGTCCCTCCCTAGTTTTGTTTCATTTTTAATTTTAATGTTTATTTTTTTAATTTCAGAACGGCAAGGTCAAATTATTTATTAAGGTAAGAAACAGGTATGGACGTAATCATTTTCCATTTGTAAATATTTTTCATAATTCTGTAGTCCAACGTTTCGGGGTTCTGGCACATCGTCGAGGACAATTTATGGTGGTAGTCTCTATCCATTATATATAATTAAAAAAACATCTCATTATCATAACCGTGCACTATAAACAATTGACATATTGACATAGCGGTCAAATAAATACTAAATTATAGGAATATTATTATTTAATTTTTATGCCGACGTTTCGACCCTCTTTGCAGGTCTTCATCAGGGCTACAAAAGATACAAAATATAAAAGGTACATGATGAAAATAAAATAAATGAATTATAAGTAGATATTAAATGATAAGAAGTTGTCTGATAAACAAATAATAAAATGATATCAGAGATATAGTGGGTGACAATGTAGTTAAAATATCAAGTATTATATATATAGAAGATACATATAGAATATAGATAACATATACATAACATTTTTGTTTGTATCTTCTATACTATATAAACTTGATATTTTAATTACATTGTCACTACATCACTACATTGTATTTCTTTAGCAGACAACTTCTTCTTATTTGATATATACTTATAATTCATTTATTTTATTTTCACCATGTACCTTGTATATTTTGTAGCCCTGATGAAGATCTGCAAAGTGGGTCGAAATGTCTGCAGTAAAATTAAATAATACTATTTCTATAATTTAGTATTTATTTGACTGGACCCCCCGATCAACTCCTCATAAAAAAATTAATGTAATAATTTTACAATTTATTGTCGAAATGAATTACTTTCGCTAATTCAGTTATTAAGTAAATAATAATCCAAATAATTTGAACGACTGATAGTAGATTTGTATTTGTTTGAAATTTGGAATTTAGTATACCAACCATTTTCTACTAAGTAATAATACTCTGGACACGTTGAAATAATTCTCGGTTCAATACCTGAAGACATGCAAGAGGAAACGGTGAAGGAATACGAGGAAGGAATACGAGGGAGGTTTCGCTCCAAATTGAGGAAGACATGAAAGCTGGCAGATGGTGGTAGAAAAGAGAAATGGCCGAGACAGTATATCATCTTTCGACAGACCAGATTCACATCAATGCGGGTCCCGACATGCTTGAGGCCTTCCTCGGTGGCGCTGCCTTTAGGGGCGGGTGGCATGACCGACTTCAATTCCCACAACTTGACTTTATAAGACATGACTTCGCCGATGAACTTTCCTATAATGGAAAAACTTCGTCACCAAGCTACTTTATGTACTGCCCGGTAATTCAACCCTCCACTTTTTTTTTCTGCCTTTTCCAGTTACATTTTTTTTTTTCTATTAATATAAACGAGAATAATATAATATCTATGGGTTCCCAAGTCACTGAGCCCTCAATCGAGAAATAAACACCGGCGTAGATTATCTCACATTTAAAGGTGATTTAATGAGGCTCTCGCAAATAGGTGTGGTAAAGGACCGGTTGTAGGGAACGGGCTGCTTTTGATCAACTAAGATGTCTTGAAAATGTACGATTAGGAGTTCTCTTTACATTGGAATTGGAATTAGTATTAGAGCTATTTTCACGATACCGGCATTAAATGATTGCTTCCGTCATGTTAATCATACCATAACCAGAAAACGTCTTTAAAAAAAAACATCCTATAATGGAAAACTAGTTTGCCCATAAAGACGACTGAATCACAAATTCAATAAGAATTAGGATAATACAATAAGATACTATTTTAATATATGCATCCCTCGGCCTACTCCTTCTCATATTATAATCACTGCCATTCATCTCTACACCATATATATATATATATATATATATATATATATATATTTTTAAATATTAAAATGTATCCTCATGCCGATTTCGACATATGAAATTGAGCATTGGGGTCCAAAAATCATCGAATTTTTCCTGTATCCAATCTTTACAACCCAAAGTCCAACAACCTAGGACTCCACCTGGACAAACGTCTAACTTGGAATCCTCATACCAGACTAAAAAGACAAGAAACCGCTCGACGTTTCAGACTACTTCAGCACTTACTAGACAAACGCTCTAACCTTTCAATTAATTCCAATAGACTCATAAACGTGACCATAATAAGACCTATTTGGACTTACGGAGTTGAGCTTTGGGGCTCCACTATACCATCGAATTCCTCTCGTATCCAATCTTTACAATACAAAATCTTTAATGCTCCTTACTTTGTAACAAATAAAATAATCCATAATGACCTGAGTGTTCCATATGTTTTCGATTTGGCCCATTCCAGATATCTATACTTCCATAATAAACTTCAGAACCATCCTAATCCTCTCGTTTCTAGCCTTGCCTCCTTCTCGATTCCTGATAACCCTCCTAGGTGTTTGAAAAGAAGGTGGCCTCGCGACCTCCTAATATAGAAACTTTATTAAAGTGCTACCAATGGGTAGATTATTTACAAGCCTTGTCATTTCATGTATTTATCTGTATCACATTAGCTGAATGTACATTAACTGTACAGTTGTAAAATTCATAAATAATAATAATAAAAAAAAAGTATAAATTATGCTTAATGCTCCTTATTATTTCACAAATCAAATTATCCATAAAGACCTCAATATTGTATATGTTGCTGAAAAGGCCCGAATTAAATATTCTTGCTTTAACTTCAAAATACTTGATCACTCTAATTTCACCTTTCATCGAAAATAATTCCAGGAAACCCTCTTTTGGCGTCTGAAAAGTTTAAAATTTAATATAACCATTGAATTGCTACTACCAATAGGTAATTTCAAAAGTTCATCTAATATTTGAAAAAATAAATAAATAAAATTTACTTGCTGTAATATATTTATAAAATTGTAAATTTCAATAAATGAATGCAAATAATTATAAAATGAAATCACATGATTTTCCTCATTAAAGATGATTTATAACATTGTCCTCGAGGATTAGAAGCACTGATGTCATCGAATTGATAAGTTCTCTATTTATCGTGTGATTAATAAACTTCGAACAACATGATAGGAATAAAATGTGCAATAAATAATACAAATCAGCGCTGAAAATAGATTTCGAACACAAAATGTAATTACTTCAATAAAAGATTTTTTTTTTTTAATTTACTTTTATTGAGATTTACAACTGTATTACATGGAAAATACAATAAGTAAATGTGACATTGGTAACATGACATGTACAACATGAAGAGAAACTACCCATTGGTAGAACTCAAATTAAAGTTCTATATTAGAAGGTCCCGAGGCCATCTTCTTTTCAGACGCCTCGGAGGATTATCAGGGATCGAGGAGGAAGCAATGTTTGAAACGAAAGGATTCGGATGGTTCTGCAGTTTGTTATGGAAGGATAGATATATGGATTAGGCCAAATCGGAAACATATGGAACATTAAGATCTTTATGGATGATTTTATTTGTGACAAAGTAAGGAGCGTTGAGGATTTTACGAAGGATTTTGGATTGTAAGGATTGGATACGAAAGGAATTCGATAGTTTAGTGGAGCCCCAAAGCTCAATTCCGTAAGTCCAAATAGGTCTTATTATTGTCATATATATGAGTCGTTTGTAATTGATTGTGAACTTAGAGCGTTTGTCTAGTAAGTGCTGCAGTAATAAAAGATTAAATTAACCTTTTCTTATGAATAATAATGTAAATATCCATTCCGAGGATAAACCTCTTGGCCAATGATATAATAATCAAAATTTGGATTGCTGGTTCATTTGAGCATTTCAACTAGAGTAAAAATGGCAGAAAAATTCGTTTTTGGAATCTTACCAAATAATTAGTTATCATTTTATTTGTTTTTTGAACGGAATGAATAAATAAGAACTCTTGACCTTAGAATCTTTTAATCCCAATTCGTACTCGACCTAATTATTATGGGCTTTCATTTTAGTGTGAATTAAAAAAAAAACTGTTTTTTAAAGGTGTGAATTCGGGAGATAAAAAGGAAAATAAAGTAGATTCACATCTTCCGATCACATTTCCTTTAAAGTTTTCGGAAACATGTAAACGTCACATGTTTTTGTACTTGCCGAATGCAATAATTCAAATTAATAAATGTAGTGCCACAAGAAATGTAGAGCTGAAAAGAAGAGGAGAAACAACAGTTTATTCTAATGTTCTTTATCTGTGATCTAACTTTTCTTGATTTGATCTTTCCCATTATTCTATCAGCTTTGAAGACCTAAAAACCTTAATGAATAATATGTTACCGGTATTTCTTGTGGTTATAACATACATAATTACATTCCGATACTGGCAAGTTGAAGACAATTAAAAATAATGGTACAAATGTGATAGTTTGCATGTTTCCACAAATTTCAAAGCAATCCAGCGTTGAGAAGATGTGAACCAATTTTATTCTTTCCTCCTCTCTTTTCATATCCCTGTAAGGCTATGTTTTTCGCAACATTACGATTAGAAAAAAAAATTAATATTTTCCGATTCACACTAATGTAAGTATAACAGCTTTGACTAAGTACATACACCATGGCGGAATAATGCACTTAGTAGTTAGCAAGATATGTAAAACACTCGAAAACCATTACAGAAAAAAAATTAATGGTACCTAATCAAAAACGATAGCAATCAAAACCAACACCCTGAACGTGAATATCAATACCAATCATGGATCACAAGATGGGTATTGAATACCATGCACCACCTAAAGCCTATCATAGAGCCTGCACGACAGGTGCAAGATGTAAACAATTGATAGCAATCCCCTCAGGCACGGTATGGTCCTAATTAATGGTGGGTCTGTGTGGGATAGTAAAAGTCATAGTAAGCCTGCAGCAGTTAAAATAGCGGTTTGTGTCGGTTTATTATCGGCCATCAAACACGATCATTAAAGCATTACCGGCATCGCCCAAAATCAACGGGCCATTTGGGGATGGGAAAAGCTTCATCTGAGTATTTTCAGTGTAATCTGCAAATCATTGATGTCCGTCATTACTGTGGGGATCTAAAAGTTGTAGAGGAGGCATCCGTTATGGTGCTTACAGCAATCTGGAACATCCTTGTATTTCATCAAAGGAACCTTATAACCTCGTAAAATTATTCAATAGGTAATTTTGCTGGCACCCAAATATGTTTTCGTAACGAAGGAATCGTTTATTAACATAATAGAGGATACTATTTTGATCTTAAGTTAGTAACTGAAATAGTACACACCGATCGCCTGTACAGAGACAAATTTACTTATTTAGCATAGAGTCGGTTTATTCCCACCCATACACCCTTTAGGTCGAAGATATGAAAGACTGAGGGAACCCTTCCTGGCTATATATATATAAGCAATGTCGATTTGGGCGCGGTCAAAGATATTCATGGTCTGTCGTGCCAAACTAAAAAACAAAACAAATATGTATATATATTATACAAATATGTATACATATATATATATATATAATATATATATATATATAGTAGTTATGTGTATGTGTGTGTGTGTGTGTGTGTGTGTGTGTTTTAAAAATCAAACTAAAAATCTGATGTGATCAGCAGTACTAATTGGAGAGGCCATCAAAAGATGATGACCCAAATTGTTTTATTTGCAGCAACGGGATTTTAAGATCAATGCTTCAATTATGAGCATCGCTTGAAAGACAAGATGGTTAAAAATAAAATTTAAATAAAACAATAAAGTAATGCCCCCCCCCAAAAAAAGTATATATAAGACGTAAAAGGAATACTGTCCTTTCCGCGGCTTGCCAGGATATCAAATAAACAAGCGAAGCGAATAATAAAATAGAGTTAAATGAATCAAGTAATATTATTATTTGTAAAATCTTGGGATTTAAAAAAAATTTACGACCGGGTTAATAACTTGTTGTATATATAACTAACTTTGTCAATTGACAATTAGTTGTCTTATTTTATATTACATTAAAAAAAAAAAGAAGGACAGCATACTAGTGTTAATGGCTCTTAGGCATTTTTAATAATTTTTAGAATATTAGGTGATAACTTCAGAGAGCTGTATAGTTTGAAGCTAGTTTAACCATTAATATAACAATTTCTAAGAAGTAATAACTGACTTCAAAATAAGCAAATTTGAGAGGTTTAGTTCCAAAACCAGTCAAACTCATTTTCATTTTTTATTGGTACTGTATTTTCACAAGGTGACGAATTTCTTTTAAATTTTAGAAATAGAGAATTTTATAATAAATTTATAAAAAAAGAATATCATGAATAAATATGAAACAGGGAACGTAATTAATGGATGTACCTTAAAAAAATAATTCGGTACGATAATGTTAAATTAAGAATAGATTTGCCATGTTTTCGAATTTATATACTTCAAAACGTTTGTTTTATGGTCAATCATTTCATGATGGTCAATCATTCATGATGATCAATCATCCCTGGACTAAAATTTATCTGAACTGAATCATCCTTTAAAAAAGCCTACACGATCCTGTCACTTACAACGGAATGGTAATTACACTATTATCACAGGACCCCGTATTAGAAGTGGAGAAAGTCAAACCAATTGCTTGTTTTGAATGGAAAAATTAAGTGTTGTTTCTGAAGGTAAACAAGACAGGGTCATCAACAACAACGGTAATAACGCTGAATAAATAAACGACAGTAAGCCCAAGTTGAGAGGCACACGTTTAGTCAACCCTACTCCTTTTACTGCCGGCTTATGCCGTACAATGAACTTCAGCTCATTAGCATAACATCACTTTAATCAAATTAAATTACATATTAAAATCCTAAGCCGTTAAGAAGTTAATGTTTTTCTTTATCGATTAATGATCCATTAAAAAAATAAATTATATTGAATTGTTGCACAACACAGTCTTTTCAGTAACAAATCTTTTCGACTTATAGTTTTACTCTGGTTGACGGATATTTTATCATTTGATATTTCCAACACAAGAAAATCGTTCAACAAGAATCCGCTTAAGCAAATCAGTTGAAATGAGGAACCTCTCCCCCTTCCCTCCACAATCCATTCTTGATTCCTTTTCGCCCCTTAGATCGATGAGCACCTCGCGGGGATGTTATTTATATCACTGCCTCTTAGCCATTTCATCTAGTCTCGAAATCTCTTCTTTACTTTCCTACCTATACTAGGTAAGGAAAGTATCGTAATCGGGTCAAATTTCCGATATGCAATATGAAAGTTTACAACTATACGTTTCAGAGCCCCCTGAGTTCGAAAAACACATTTTTAGCTGTCTGTCTGTCCATGCCAAGATATTCTCAGGAACTACTGAACGGATTTTTTTTTTTGATTTTTTAGGGTTTTGACTACATTTTAGTCTGTTTTTTTTTAAGGTAATGAAATTCTCTACAAAACTGTATAAAAATAGTTCATTTCGGACAACTATTAACGAAGTAACAGCTATTCAATTTCGATGTAATATTACGGTTCATATCTGGTGTCAGAAAGGGTGAATGAGAGAAAAAAGATGATTAAGTGAAAGTAAGAAAGTCTGTTGCCCGCATCACACAAGTTTTCTCTCTACTTTTAACAAAAATTATTATTTGACAAAATTAAGGTACGGTAAAACGTTTTTGATCAGCGGATGAATATTAGAGGGTATTGAAATGTTTACACTGATCTATCTTAAGTCGGTTTACATTGCTTTAGTATATCGTACTCAAATCTTTTCTTGGATCAATTTTCAGAAAATAAATCTAATTCAATTTTTTTTTCCTTGATGGACATACGTGAAGATATAAATTTTTTCTGAAATAGGTAGGAAAGTCGTGTGAGTGGACACACCAGATTTTTTTTCTATTTGCACGTACTATTTCCAATTGATTTACTCCATTTATTTAATAGATCTACGAAACTTCGTCTATTCCAAAAGTATCCTTTCACCTTTTCTAAATATTTATCTAATACACTTTTGAATCAATAACAGAAGAACTGAAGACTTCCAAAGAGAATACAGCAATTTATTGATTTACATATTTTCTGTCAACAGACATTAGAAGCAGATGTTGGAAAAAATTAGGGAGGGGTAAGTTACGATACTGTCGGATCGTTCTGTTCGATCGACGAAGTTTAACGCCCTAGTAAAAAGCAATATGCCCTCGCACTTTACTATCTAGGCGGGGATGCGGGCAGCAACTCATTTTTAACGGCAGCCATATTCGAACCGTAATTATTTTTTATTGCCAGAGCTTAAGGTAGTAAAGCTCCCGGCCGCAGACATTTATAAAAGTATGATTTGCCATCCAGATGGCATCTATTTCACGTACGAACCATTTAGTGTTCACTATATCAACTACTTTATGAAGGCTCGAACAATGGGCTAGGAGGAAGCCTATGGGGTGTACATCCTTTGCGGGGCAATCAAACTGATCTATTTTTAAAAAGATATTCTAGTATGAAATTAAACGAGAATATAATATTTGAAAGATATGGGATATTATAAAATCTTCCAGCGTAGGTTCAATTCACCAATCAACCTTTTCAGCCTAAAAAGCGGGTTTTTAAGGAGCAATTTTTTACCCAAGAGACAAATGAACTAACTGTCGGAGTTCATAGTAACTGAAAAGGTAGGAATTCTTAAACAAGACAACTATATTCTCTTTTTTTTTAATTAACAGTTTCGGCAGTAGATTATTATAAAGAAAATAATGGCATTCAAAACAGTTAAAGCATGCGACGAAGTACTTAAACAGCTAATCTAAAAAAATAAATAAACTGAAAAAAAAGCGACTAATTTTGGAACTCTAGGCCGGATCTAATGGTGTTCAGGTCCCATGCTGATAGAGTTTCCCACATAACTTTATAATCAAAATTAATGATAAATAATAAATTTGGAATACCTTTTAATGTATTTATACAGATAGAGTACCCACGATGTAAATTGTACAATAAAACATCTAACTGAAATTGGGCAGTTTTCTTTGTTTATATAAGTTTACAGAGTTTTTTGGAGGAAGCCCGAGAATACTGATCGAAAGTATCGCATCTACAATTATGCAATAAGTTATAAATCTTTGGCTTATTGCAAAGCATTGAAGCAGTTGAAATTACTGCTAAATATTAAAATGTTACCAGCGTGATTTCTGTGCCCCAGAGGTAAGGACACCATGTTCATTTTTTTATTAATTATTTTAATAAGAAAGAAACAAATTTTAATAGCTCAAAGTTATGGAACAATGGCTCCCCTGAACAAATACAAAAATGGACATAGCATTCTTTACTTATTCTTTCCAAATTATATTAGCATTGGAAAAGGAAAAGGGCGGATAGTAAAGATTATATAAGCCACAGGAAGTAATTAATTTCAAGGGCCACAAAAAAAAACTTTAAGATTTTATTAATTAGCAATTAATATTACTGAATCAGAATTACTAATTAAACACGATTTATATACAAATAATTCAGGATAACATTCTTAATACAAAAAAGAAGAAAATAAAGAAGGTTTTCTTAACCTTTTGCCATACTTTTGGTTTAAATGGATATTTTTTTTAGAATATCTCTCTATTATATAAAAAAAGTTTTTAGTGGCTTAGATACTTTATTTTATTTTAGTATTAGAAGAGCAGGAATAGCTACCCTATTAGCTCTATAATTAGCACTAATTATACAGCTGTCCATTTAATTACATATGTGCTGAGCTCCTGTAACCTCCTACTATCCTAATACAAAGTAGAGATTTACATCCTGGTGTCTTAGTAACGGTATTGAGTTCATGTAACCTCCTCCTCTCCTAATACAAAATAAAGATTTTAGACAAAAAATTAAATGGTATTTTAGGTGAGGTGGTAGTTTACAAATTTGCAATGAGAATAAATTTAATTATATAAATTGGCAATAAGGCACGATGTATAATATAGATTTTTAAAGAAGAGAGAAACACTTTATTTTCATAAAATATAAAGGATTGCTGCCCAAATATATTGGGTTGCTATATACACAGCATACTCTTCTATCCTTAGGACAATATATGAACTTATATATAAATATACAGAAGTATTAGTTAATATTAGTAAATATAAATATATATATATATACATTTTTATTATATTTATTTATTTTTATAATTTTTTTTTTTTTTTTTCCTTTTTCCTTCTTCT